GTAAAGCAGGAGAAGGCAAAAACATGGCCTGCCTAAAGAGGAATGGAAAACAAATGAGAAATAGGACAAAGGATAAAATAACAAGTTTAAAGCTATATTTAGGCCCTAGTGTCATTGTACTGGACGTAAGGCTAAACTATTGTTACTATTCTCTGGTAAACAGTAGACTGTTTTTGGTTTTTAAATGAGAGGGCCATTATGACTTATCGCTATTCTGATATCACAATGGGATTACAGACTCTTAGTATAAGATTTAAGCCTTAAAACCTTTATGGAAAAGTTGCCTCAAGAACATCTTCCCAGGTACATCCAATATGTTATAACTTGATTACAGCAATGATTGGAATATAAGAGGTCAATATAATTAGACCTATTGAAAGAGTTAGTTACCAAAAGTACCAAATACTCCAGAAGAGTTTCATCTTATGGTCCTGAAGGCACATAAAACAACTGTCTACAGAAGCTAGTAAAGTTCATCTTCACAAAGCTTTATTTCTTCTTCTGGCAGACCAGTCGTCAATCGTAGCATGGAGACAATATGGAACACAGATATTAATTAACCTATAAGATTTCTCCTAACATAGATAACAGTATGTTAGAAAACATTAGTAGTTCATAAATAATGAGCTCCCCATTTGTCCCAGTGGCTCCATGGGAGAAAGACCTGTTAATCTGCTCCTGTAAAGACTACAGCCTAGAAAGCCCTATGGGGCAGTTCTACTCTGTCACATGGGGTCGCTATGAGTCAGAATCAATTCATAAGCACCTAACAGCAACACAGCATTTACCTAAGGATAGTAAATATCTTCTGATATTTACAGAGGTAATTTTTTGTTCTACTAAACAACACAGGAATCAAAAGGGTCAAGTCCTAGTCAGGGTCAGAAGGTACATCACTGAAGATCCAATAAAAATGTATAAGGAAGATGTTAAAACAGAAGTCAGCATTATCATTGAAGAGACATGCCCAGGATGACATTTTCAAATACTCTCTCTGAACACAAGTACCCTGGATGGATAGATGAGGTTACAAGATATGACAAGGATTTGACTTTCCTGACACCCACAGAAACAACACAATAGAGGCATCCATA